TTTTTTACCTCACCCTCGTTACCCTTCTTGGGGCATTTTTATATGTAATTTTTTTTGAGGAAATTGTTCTAAATACTCCCTGTCTAGGTTACTTGTCTAGCAGTTAGAGAAAAATATTGCGGTATATTGATCATTTTGTACGATTGGGTCCTATTAAGAACAAACTTTTAAAAATTTGGTTGACTTTGAGGATGAAGAATCTGTATAAATCAATTTTTATGACTTCTTGCCAATTTCGAATCATAATCCAGTAGCGAATTCCTAATACCTACATTTAGCTTCGATTGCACTGGTGACATAGTGACGTAGAAAAAAATACATTTCAAAACCATATCGAAGCCATAGTAGCAAAAAAAAAATAAATAAATGAATAAAATAAAATAAAAAACAAGTAAGCAAAGGCTACAGTCGAGCGGGGCCGACCGTTGAATACCCTACAACACTATAATAAACCATACAGTTTATATAGGCGAGATACACGAAAGAATTCCACAAGATATTGTGACAAATAATAAAAGAAACTTTCTCTAATTTTCGAAAAATAGCAACTTAAACGAATTTGCTCATTTCCAATTTAATGGTGGATGTTGCACGTAAATGGTCTTCCTAGATCTGGAACCAATATTTCCCAAAGACCTATAATCTCTCAGAAGTGGCAAAAGATTAACATTTATTATTGGTTTTTGACTGAAACGCATCTATATGAGATACAGACATTTGACTATATTCTTCAACGAAATCAGCGTTAACGAAATAGTCGGAAGTGCGTCTTTCCTGTATTTGCGAATTCTCCAAAAAGTCACTAGAATGGACATTTTCATATTTTGTCTACAAAAGTTGGCAAACTCCTTCACACATTGAATATTTTTGAATGGCCATCCGAAACTGCTTGGCTTTTGCAATGTGCGGTAACCCCCATTCAAATGTGCGTGAGGATCGGGTGATATTTACGACCTGCCGACAATTTTGCAGTTTTTTGGTCCATTTCAACCCCTAAATATATGGCGATCATCTCCAAAAAGAGTAGGCTTCTATTCTGACCCTCATCTTATCCCCATGAAAAATTTCGTATGGATCGGGCCATAAATGCGATCTGTATATGATATCCTGATATCCTAACTACTTAGTTTTGTTAGCAGTAGAAATATTACCAAATGTTTAATTCAAAATGAAAATATGCCAAAAATATGACAAAATTGAAAAAATATGAGAAAATTTTACAAAATCCATATTTTCATCTTTATAGAGATATTTTTATGCGATTTTTTAGACGTTTTTTTTTTCCTGCAAAGAGGCCATTCTGAATTAATGAGAACTGTCGAAATCAGTTCAGCCGTTCTCGACATATAAGAGATCTTTCAAGCATATCCTCTTTGATAGACATATATATCGCACATATTTTGCTATATATCCGTTTTGTTGGATGTTAACATCAATGTAAAGATCAGAAGTAACCTTGCCATGGCTTTGTGATTTCGCCGGGACTTAAAATATTCGAGGTTTAATGAAAAATTTTGATTTTTTTCAACACAAAAGATATGGTCTATTTTACCCGCAAAATATTATCCGATGACCACCCAAATTGGTAGGCTTCTTCCCCGACCTAAACTCTAGCTACATGCGAAGTTCCGCGTCGATTGGTCTATAATTGCGACCTGTATAGCTACTGCAAAATCCGACATTTTTTCAGTTTTTGGTCCATTTCGACCCCTAAATATTATGCGATCATCTCCAAAAGAAATAGGGTTCTATTCTGACCCTAGCCCCACCTCCATTCTAAATTTCGTGAAGATCGGGCCATAATTGCGACCTGTAGAGTGATTACAAATTAACATGGACAGACGGACAGACGGACAGACGGACGGACGGACATACATAGCTAGATCGACTCAGCTCGGCGAGCTAGGAAGATCCATATATACTTTCCTATGTGGGAAATCAATATTTCGAGGTGTTACATAATTTTTGGCCCAATCAAACTTATAATACCCCCAACACATAGTGTTGTAGGGTATAATTAGAAGGAACTCCTTGTGTGGATTTTCAGACAACTCCATTGAAAAATTTGGCTACAATGGTCAATATAACTAAGATCATTGGATATCGTTATATGGGGGCTTCAAATACGAAATTTGAAACAATTCCGATTAAAAATTGTCCTAAAATCCTCAAAATACCAAATATCGGGAGGTATTGTTATAGGCTATACGAAGACTTGGACCTGCATAGAAAATTTTCCATCATAGGTTGAAGTACACATTACGAACTTCAAATAGAAAAATTAAAAACCAGTAAAGATAGTCTTAAATTCGGACGGCGCCGACTTTATGATACCCTACACCACTTTGCTAATTTAGTAGAGCTCCGCATAACAATTAAAAGTTTTTATGGGAGAATGCCATCATACACGCTATGATTATAATTATAATTTAAAGTTCAAAGGACTAAATATGCCGAAGCATTTGTATCTTTTAAATTCGGAATTGTATTGCCCATTTGGTGCACAATTAATTTGAAATCGGATAAAGATATATATGTGAGCTATATCCAAATCTGAACCGATCTCGATAAAATTTGGCAAAGACATTTCTGAGCTGTATTTGATATATTTCCCTGAATATCTTTGTTACGGAGTGCATATTACGGTTGTGGGTAAAAAATATAACAAATCGGATGAATAATATATATGGAAGCTATAGCTATATCTGAACCGATCTTCACCAAATGTGACATACTAGCTTCTAGACTCAATTCGGTCGTAAGTGCCAAATTCCATCCCATTTGGACCAATATTAGACGTTTGGTGCACAATAAAAAGTAAATCGGACGAAGTTATATATGGGAGCTATATCCAAATCTGAACCGATTTCGATAAAATTTAGCAAATTTATTTCTGAGATGTATTTGATATATTTCCCCAAATATTGTTGTTACAGAGTGCATATTACGGCTGCGGAGGACAAAAATAACAAATCGGATGAACAATATATATGGGAGCTATAGCTATATCTGAACCGATTTCGATCAAATTTGGCATACTTATTTTCAGGTCCAATCTGATCGTGCGTGCAAAATTCCATACTATTCGGCCTGATATTACACGTTTGGTGCACAATAAAAGGCAAATAGGACGAAGATATATATGGGAGCTATATCTAAATTTTGACCGATTATCTCCAATTTCAATAGGGTTCGTCCTTGGGCCAAACAAATGATTTGTGAAAAATTTCATCTGGATAGGGCAATAAATGCGAACTGTACTTTGTTTACAAAAATACATGGACAGACGGACGGACAGACGGACGGACAGACAGACGGACGGACGGACAGACGGACGGACGGACATGCATAAATCGACTCAGAATGTGATTCTATGCAGATCATCAAAAGGAACTATGGGTCTATCTCGTTTTCTTTTGCCTGTTACAAACAAATGCACAAAGACATAATACCCTGACCACCTTGTGGTGTAGGGTATAATTATAAGGAACAATTCCATTAAAAAATGTGGCTACATTGGTCAATATAACTAATATCATTCAATATCGTTATATGGGGGCTTCAAATACGAAATTTAAAACAATTCCGATTAAAAATTTTCCTAAAATCCTCAAAATACCAAATATCGGGAGGTATTGTTATAGGCTATACGAAGACTTGGACCTGCATAGAAAATTTTCCATTATAGTTTGTAGTACCCATTACGAACTTCAAATAGAAAAATTAAAAAAAACAAATGTCGTTGAATACTGTCGCTAAAATCATCAAACTGTTGAATATGGGGGGCGTCTCTTCCAAAGAGGTAAAGTACTCATAAATAATTACTTGTGTAGGAGTTTAGATAATTCTATCAAAAATGTGGCTAAATTTATATAAAAAAGGTAAAAATATGGCGTTTGACGTTTTAATGCCTTACCTAAATATTCATTATTTTTGTTTTGTTTGCGGACGTTAAATATCGTTCCGTTGCCAATGTGGCACTTTTACTCATTTTAAGGGAATGTGCCATTATTTTTCACATTTCTGGTAATGTAACAAGTGGTCTGTCTCATTATCGGTTCATATATCTCCTAAATTTTACACTACAATAAAACGAGTCATTTTCATAAAATTTTTACATATTTACTACCTTCCAAAAAATATTAGCCCATAACTAAAAACATTTTTCCAACTAAAGACAATGTATTTTGATTAGATATCAACATTTACTAACCACAAACAATGATATTTATATATCACACCTCTATACTGCTAAAGGTGCTTGTACTCTCGTAACATATCGCTGCAATTAAAAGACCTACCCTCGTCATCACATAGTGGCCGTTACACCAGACAGAAACTTGTCTTATCAGTCATTTGTGCACATATTATAAAAAATGAAAAAAAAATGAAAATTAAAAAAAAAAATAAAATAAATAAATAAAATTGAATACAAACTCTTTATTTGGTATTTAATTATTTTTCTTTTGTCATTTCGAGACAATTCACTCAAAATGAAGAGACTACGTGCATTTAATGATGTCACTGCAACTGCAATTGAGTGCAAGGGATTGGCATGCTCTTTGCAGTGTTAAAAAACAAAGGAGGTTGAGAGGAGGGGGAGGGTGGCCTTAAAATGCACAAATGTGAGTGATAATGGCACGGAGACAACTACTCATTGCATTGCAATTGCAAAAAAGATGGAGAACCGTGATTGAGGGACGTCAAGTCTCGACCATTCAAACCAACCTCACCTAAAAGCGCTTGCAATTATTTGTCATTAATTGAAAAATTTCTTGCTAATTTTTAGAATATCGATTGTTTGTTGTTCATTATTGTTGTAGGAAATTAAACAGAAATTCGTTATCAAAAATCTGTGATAGGAGGGTCTATTAAAACACAAAATGGCAAATGTAAATTAAAAATGAATTCTTGGAATTTTTCAGAATTAAAACTTCAAATTCTTCATTTGTATTTATTTTATTAATGTTTGAATGGGGTTTCTTCTCATTTCTTTACAGATTGTCTCAGAATCGGAAATTTTGCGTGCTCAAATGATCAAAGAAGACGTCCAGCCGCAACAATTCACCCAGCGATACAAGAGTCGATCGACAGAGAATTTTTTGGAATTACCTGCCGAGGATGATGAAAAGAAAACAATTGCCGATCGTGTGCGAAGTCGATGTAAGTAAAATATATGGAATTATTTAATTTAAAGGAAGTTTAAAAGTATTAGTCGGTTTTACCGATATACGTATACCATCAGCCAATGATCGATTATTTAGATATATTTTGACTTTTGTTATGATTTTTCAACTATTTGACCTTCTATGGAGCAGGCTTCGAAGGAATGGGCCAACATTGTCCATTTCGTATCGTACCTAAATAAATATGATAAAAATACTGCAACGTGCCCTGTTTGGACTATATCGAATACTTCATTCACCTTATATGAGACATCGACAGATTTTTAGAAAATGCTAAAATGTGCATAAGGTGCCAGATATAGTCGACCGAAGCATTCCATTTTCATATTTCATCTAACACAGATAAAAATATTGGTGTGGGCAAAATTACAAGAAAATTGAACATTTATATCCAATTGTATTCGAAATCATAAATTCCGATAAATTCCATATTCATGTCAGGTTTCTGGTTGAGAGAAATATTCAGATATAGCAAGTTGTGAAAAATTGGCGACTGCTTTCGCAAAGTTATGACAGATAAAAGTATTGAAAATTGAGACCCTTTGTGGATGAGGTACCAGAAGAGGTTCGCAGATATATATAGCATCTTCACAAGAGATGTGTGAAATATGAAGAGAACCGGATGTTTATTTCGAATTCTATTGTCGATTTGATTATTCAAAAACTCACAAAGAGAGGGAGGTACCATAAGAAATGGTCCGATCTTTAACATCTTCATGACAGATCTTGTGTTGATGGAAATATTGAGATGTGCAAAATCTGAATGGAATCGGATGTTAATTTCGCTTTTTATGAGCTTCATGGATATTCAAAATTTTGGTTTTTTGTGGGGGAGGTACCTAAATGAGGGGTGCATCTTCACAGCAGATCTTGTGTTGGTAGAAATAATGGGATGTGTAAAATATGAAGAGGACCGGATGCTTAATTTTGGATTTTATAATCGGTTTGGTTACTCAAAACTTTGACCCGTTGTGAGGGAGGTACCAGCAGAAATGCTCCGATCTCTAACATTTTTATGATAGATCTTGTGTTGATGGAAATATTGAGATGTGCAAAGTCTGAATAGAATCGGATGTTAATTTCGCCTTTTTGAGCTTCATGGATATTCAAAATTTTGACCCTTTGTGGGGGAGGTACCTAAATGAGGGGTCCGATATATTCCATCTTCACAGCAGATCTTGCGTTGGTAGAAATATTGGGATGTGTGAAATATGAAGACAACCGGATGCTTATTTTGGATTTTTAATCGTTTTGGTTATTCAAAACTTTGACCCTTTGTGCGGGAAGTATCAGAAGGAATGCTCCGATCTCTAACATGACAGATTTTATTTTTGTTGAAATATTGAGATGTACCAAGTCTGACTGGAATCGGATGTAATTTTTGCGTTTTATGAGCTTCATGGATATTCAAAATTTTGACCCTTTGTTGGGGAGCTACCAGAAGCAGTGAACCGATATATTCCATCTCCACACCAGACCTTGGGTTAATAAAAATATTGTGATGTGTGTAATTTGAAGACAATCGGACACTAATATTACATTTTATTAGAGTAACATTTTATTCAAAATTTTGACCCTTTATCGGGGAAGTACTGGATGGGGTGGACAGATATTGTCTATTTTCGCACCTGAGCGAGTACTAATGAAAATGTTAGGATTTGCAAAGTTGGAGCAAAATTGGATTATCCTTTCTCCTCCTGTGCAGTAAATTTTCCTTTTGAAATTTCGATTTTTGAGGGGAACATCTCCGAACTCGATCTAATTACGATGTACCAAGTTTGGACCAAATTGGATACTCCCTTGGAGTGTTATTTTGCGCACCAGCCAGCCAGAGAGACATACTGATGGACATCGCTAGATCGACTCCAAGTGTCCAAAAAGACCCAGGGTCTAAAATCGTTATGTCGATGAGGCACGCTATGGCCGTATCAAATGATATATACCCTCCCTCTACCATATGGATGAGGGTATCAAAAAGTGTGTTTTTACTGTTCGAAAAATCGAGCAGAGGATCGAAATGGGTTAACATTCGATTGCGTTAAGCTTAATCGATTGCTTTGACTATTTATTTTTATATTCCATTATTATCTGATTATTATTCATTTCATGCAATTTCATCACTTTCCTCGTCAACGTCTAATGGCAAGTTTTCTTTACGAGCAACCTTTCTATGATTTATTTTACTCTCTCACATACATACCCACACTCACACACATGTGAGAGATTTTCATAATGAATAGCAAACAATCAACTTGAAACAAATTACCATAAATTACAAGACATTTAAGCGAATGTCATAAATGAAAATTTGCCATAAAATATAACAACAACAACAATAGCAGCAACAACATAAATAACACTTAATAATCGTCATCATCATAATTTTTCTTTAAAAGTTTCCCTTTCAACGGTTGAACGACAGTGAATGACAGTGGACGATGATCCAAGGGGAAAAAAAGAAAAAAGAAAAACAACTAATTTCTATTTCATTTTGTGTACCCTACGCAAAAGGTTTTAGAAAGTCAAACAAGAGAGAATTTCCGACAGCCTTAGTGATATTTTCTTGTAGGAAATTAGTATTTGGAATATACAACGTGGGAAATTATTATACCCTCAGCCATATGGGTTCAGAGGGTATATATCATTTGATAAGGCCAAAATGTGCCTCACCGAAAAAACGGTTTTAGACCTTAGGTCTCTTATGGCCAAGTCCGTTTCAGGACATTTGGAGTCGATCTAGAAGTGTCCGTCCGTGTGTCTGGCTGGCTGATGTGCACGATAACTCTCGAAGGGAGTATCCGATTTATTCCAAACTTGGCATGTCGTAATATTATTATCAAAATTAGATCGACTTCGGAGATGGGCACCTGGTACCTTACCCACAAAAGGTCAATATTTGCATAGAAAATAATTTACGTCATAGAACAGGAAGGAATTATACACGTCTGTTTAAACTTTACAAAACCTAATATTTGTATCAGTGCTAGGTCGTGCGCGAAAATTGGCAATATTAGTCCACTCTATCGAGTTCCTCCCCCACAGAGCGTCAACATTTTGAATAATCATAGCCCTTACAAAATGTGAAATAAGAGTCCGATTGTGTTCAAGTTTCACGCATGCCAAAATTTGTAGTAACACAAGATCAGGTGTGAAGATGCAATGTATCAGACCATTCCTTGTGGTTCTATGGAAGGAATATCAAACGTGTACCATAAATCCTAGACAGATAGACCACCCAAATTTCGCAGTATTTATACCCAACACCACATAGTGGAAAGGGTATTATGTCTTTGTGCATTCGTTTGGAGAAGGAAGCGAGATAGACCCATAGTTATTTTTGAGGATCTTTATGGAATCATATTCTGAGTAGATTTATGCATGTCAGCCCATCCATCCGTCCATCCGTCCGTCCGTCTGTCCATGTATTCTTGTGAACAAAATGCAGGTCGCATTTATTATCCGATTGAGGTGAAATTTTCGCAAACTATATTTGTATGGCCCATGGACGAACCCTATTGAAATTGGTGATAATCGGATCAGATTTAGATATAGCTCCCATATACAGGGTGAGATAAAAGAACTGCAACAAAGTCGAACGCCATATTTTTTACATTTTTTTAAATGTTCCTGAATGAATGCAAAAACTGTCGGAAATGGCATCAAATTTTAGAATAAGTTTAGATTTGTTCGAATTTGTCACCTTTCTCACGAATTATGGCCTTCAAACGGCCAATGAAACCGACACACGCTGCCCGAATGTTGCTATGCAGTATTTTGGCCCATTCCCGGCGAAGCGCTTGCTTGAGGTGATCGACACTTTGGTATTTCTTAGTGCCAATCTTGCTTTCCAAAATTCTCCAGACACAAAAGTCCAACGGATTGGAATCCGGAGATTTTGGTGGCCATTGTGCTCTGAAAATGAAGCGAGGAACCTCATTTTGTAACCATTCTTGGGTGACACGTGCTGAGTGCGATTGTGCTGAGTCCTGTTGGAATGTCCAAGGTCTGGGGCCAAAATGTTTGCGTGCCCAAGGCTTTAATACACCCTTCAGAATATTTTCGCGATAAAATTGGGCATTTATTCTGATGCCACGGTCGATTAATACGAGCGGAGAGCGACCATTGGCTGTTATCGTGGCCCACACCCGCAACATAAACATGGCCGGTGATTGAGTTCTGGTGGCCTACCAAAGGTCACACATTTTCAGCTGACCTCTTTGTCAAGTATACACGATCATTTTGTTTGTTTTCTTACCGGAAAAAAACCAAATTCTGCAGTTCACCACTTTCGGCCAAGCACAGCAACTCTTTAGCTCTTTTGAGTCTATTTTCTTTCTGTTGCGGTATAAGTTCTTGCATTTTTGGAATTTCAATGGCTCATTTTTCAATATTTGCCGAATGGAATATTGCGATATGTTCAGCTCACGGGCCATTTTTGGGCCACTGCGACGCGGGTTTCAATCAAGTCACTTCTTTACTTTTCGAACCATTTCTGCTGATGTTGCTGTTTTCTTCCGTCCACTTCCTTGACGTCGGGCTACGCTACCAGTAACGAGCGATGGCACGAGACGTGAAAGATTTACTCACATTTATATGCTGGAGTACTCTAACGATAGCCACTTGTGGTTTTCCAGGCGAATATAAAAAAAATCACAGTATCACGCTTGAATTCCATCACGAATAATTTTTTTCTGGAAAATTCTCATCAAAATGCTTTTGTACGCTTGTAAACAATATAATGAGCTGTCACTGGAATAATTTCAAAAGCAGTCGGACGAGCGGCTTAGAAATGACAGCAGTCTGAAAGTGGTTGCAGTTTCTTCATATCACCCTGTATATTATATCTGCCCAAATTAAGTAGATTTTGTCATATTCAACCGAATTTTACAATTCGGCTAAACTTGATCCGGTATATTTATTGCTCCAATAAATGGTTTTAATATAATCCTTATCGAAGTCATATCATGAACTATACAG